TGGCGGATCGCACCCCTTCGTCGTCTCGCGCGAGAACCAGTCCGGTCACAGACTCCTTCCTCTCCGGCCTTCTTGCCGCCGCTTTTAAAGTGTCAAACCTCTCTCGAATCCGCGATTCCGGATCGTTTCGATCTACCGCCGTTCGCCTCGTTAAACATTCATCGTTCCCCCGTGTTGGATCACGGTCGAACACGAGCACCGCCGCCACGCAAAATCAATCGTTCCTCCTTTCTTTTCCTTTTTTCCCGGGGATGAAAATCCCTCCCTCGCGAAAAGGGAACCGCTTTTCTATCTACCGTGAAATTTTTCTCGGTCTTTTAACATGTTTTGGAGCATGAATGAGATGAAATCGAAACTTTCGTAAAAAGTTCTATGAGAAGCTTATTGAAAAGTATACCAAGCATATAATTTTAAATATATCGAGGAAATTGCCATTGTTGCAAATTTAAACGGATCCAGCACTTCCATTTAAATTCGTGACAGTCTTCCTTTTTCGTCGATAAAAAAGGAATTATTTTCTCTAAAATACGCTTCGTTTAACACTCTCTCCCTCTCTGTTAGATTAATTAAAATTCCTCCTCGAATTAGGTAAAAATGAAACGGTGGTTAAAATACGGGCGGATAAATGGTAAATCGGATGTGCCGTGGATTGGAAATGAAGTTTAGAACAGGCGGGGCGAGCGTTGGCCCGAAAGTTATAGTTGACGATAGGGGGATAACGATAAGAGTAATGCGCGCGAGGGAATACGGTTGTGCCGAATGGGGAGGGGGCTGCGTGGCGGGGCTGCAAAATGTAATCGGCACGGCGCCCTCAATTATTAATTGGTAACCGCGTTAATTACTTGCACGGGTGTAGGCGCGCGTCCTGTCGCTCGAGCAACGGCGTAGCAGCGCGATACGTTTTCCGCGCGAATCGTAAATCGGCCGCCGTGTTACGATAAAACACGGCGAAATTAAATCTTATCGTCGCCCACCCAATCCTATATTTCTACGTCCAACGGAGGACAACGAGTTTTGTAAATGATTCGTTTTTGTTTGTTTGTTTGTTTGTTTGTTTTTTCTCATCGAATTTTTAAAAAAAGAATACACAGGCAAGAGAGGCAAGTGGCTACCGGTCTTTAATTCTTGGTTGTTGCGCAAGGGAACCAGTTTCGAGAAATTTACGATCAAAGTGTACCTAGTTTGAAAGATACAAGTAATTATTCTATAATTTTGTATTTAAATTAATATCTAATAACGTGTATCGTAACTCGGTGAATAATTAATAGGATTTGGATAAACGCGACGATAAAGATTGCGAAGAGAAATTTAATAGGGGAAGAAAGTTTATTTAAAATCTAGAATCTTGTTAAGATATGTAAGCGTATTAAACGGATCTCGAATTTGGAGTAATTGGAAATTGATACGAGGGGATAGGTTGATGAAACGGATGATATTTGATGGATTGTCCCCCTTCTTTTTCTTTTTTCTTATTTTTAATCGTCGTTTTATTTCCGACGCCGCGTGATCGATCGAACATGATCTTGCATCGATGGAGAAGAAAGTGATATAGGATGCACGCGATCGTAATATACTCATTACCGATAACGAAAATTTAAATAATTATAAAATATTATATCTGTACACGTAAAAATTTACGAAATACTGTTAAACGACACGACCCTCCGGTCATTAATTTTCATCGTTATTAAACGAAGCTGAAACTGTGCCTAACAAGTTTTTCCACTTACACTATCGGTATTATAGCTTCGAGATTAACTTACGATTTAAAACGCGACTACCTCGATTGCAATTAACCGTAACCAATCGCCATTCATTTCCCCCTAGAACGATAATTCAACAACAATCTTAAAGGAAATCTCGTGCACACGTTTCTCGATTAGAAAATCGTAGAGCCCCAATTTTAAACGTTGATAAGAATGAAATATATATATCTATACACACACGCGACGAAATATAGGAAAATCCAAGTTGAAAATAACAAAACGCGATCGAAATCGTACGAAATCGAGAAGAAGGATAAATATCCAATTTATTTTCACCAAACCATTGTATCTCGTCATCTCGATTTATAAACTTTCCATTTATAAATTTCCCCCTTACATCTCGAATAGATAATACGAGGAAAAGCAACAAGAACGATAATTTCACAATCCCATCCTCCCTACAATTAAGAAAACTCCCTTTCAAAAATTCATCTTTCTCCTCTCCCCCCTATTCTACATTATACATCCGTCGAACGCAAAATCGTAAATCCTCATCTTCGTTTAATTCTCCTTCCGATATCTCAACAATTTAAGGGTGAAATCGTAAATCGGGGGGGCGCGAGCCGCGGAAAGATAACGCAGTCGTGTGCCCCTGTGCCCGCGATCTCTTCCTATATATATGTATATATATATATATATATATATATA